TTCCTCACTACTATGTCACGTATGGCACCATATGCAGAACAGATAGTAGGAAAATACCAGGCTAGTTTAGGAGTGGTAAATTGACAATTTATCAGATTGCAACCCTGAAACAAATTTTAGACAAAACACCGGAAAATGACATAGACTCATCACATATTTATAGACTATAAAGAAGCCTGCGACTCTGTTAATAGAAGAAAAATATTTAAAATAATGACAGAGCTAGGAATACCAAATCAGTTAACTAACTCTTGAAAAAGTTGAATGTAGAGTACGAATTAAGGGGGAACTGTCTGAATCTTTAAAAACAAATAACGGGCTGCGCCAGGGAGACCCTCTCTCCTGTATACTGTTCAATTAGGCTCTGGAAAAAGTAATACGTATGTCACAAATAACATCACTAAAGTAACTGACATCATGGGAAAAATAGCGACATTGAGATGGAATGGGTAGCATATGTAGCAAGACAAGACACCAAAAAGTGGTCTCATAAAGTGACATTTTGGAGACCTTGACAAACAAAAAGAAGCGTGGGAAGACCTAAAAAGAGATGGATAGACGATATAACAGCTGTAACTGGAAAGCGGTGGATGAGAATTGCAAAAGATAGGAAACGTGGAAGCAACTGGAGGCCTATGTCCAACAATGGATAAATGAAGGCTGAAGAAGAAGAAGATGTCACAAATCACAACCATTGGTTTAATATATATTAAATCAGTGCAAATTTTTGCCTATGCTGATGATATCAATATTGTTGGGAAAACGGAAAGCGCTGAAAGAGGAGAGTATGCAGCATTAAAAGAATCAGTTACAAAAATGGGTTTAATAATAAACACCAACAAAACGAAGCATATGAAATTAAGCAGTCAACCATAAATCCTACGACCACTTGTTATAGAAAACGCTGAAATTCTTTAACACTGAAAATATTACTACCGCAGAAATAAGCAGCAGAATTTGCAGGGCCAACAGATGCTATTTTGGGTTCCATCTCCCCCTTAAATCCACAATTATATCGAAATATACAAAAATATAACTCTACAAAACAATAATACGCCCACTCCTTAGAGAACAGACATAAGCATGAATTTAATAAATGCGACGAAGGAACAGTACGCTAATGCTAACTCAAAAGTAAAGTTCGAAATAATCTGTGAAGTGAATTCCAAATGAATAAAGGCATTAAGCAGCGCTGCTGTCTCTCCCCCACATTATTTAAAATTTATCTAGAACCGGCTCTCTAAAACTGTGGAAGCGCAAATGTAGAAATATGGGAATGCCGATTAACAACAATAGCATAGACACTTTGTCATTTGCAGATGATCAACTAGTGATAGCACAAGATTTTGAAGATAGTAAGTATATAGTTCGAAAATTAATCGAGGAGTATAAAAAATGGGGACTTGAAAATATCCAAAAACCGAGCAAAAAGCAAAGCATTTTACTAATCTTAAAATATTGATATAGATACACTTCTTTATATAGTTGAAAACTTATTTGTAGGTTATCACGTTACAATCTATAAGTAAATAAATCATTTATTAAAACGCTAGTGTATTTTTGTCTTTCGTATAAAATGCATTGAAAATGGATACTATAAAACTATGTTTAACTTTTAAATCTCTAGTTTCATTAATCGTAACACACCTTAAATATTTGGTAATTTGTCAGCCAATTCCAGTTAAGGCGGTTACAGACACATATGCAAGCTTGTCCAACATGCTTGTTCAATCTATTTGTACAAGTACTCTTGAGTGCCTGTAGGGAAATGTGCTGCAAGCTTTGTGATTGTGCAAGTGGCTTGAGGATTGAAAGGATCTTACGGAGTAATTATAGAAGAGAAAAGAAAAAAGTTGAAGATGCGGACCACTCTGGAATGGGTGCAGAAGAACGTTATGAGCCCACACTTTCTAGTGTCTAGTTCTAAGTCTAAGTCTAGTAAGCTAATGTGAGAATAGGTTTTTCTTTTCGTCAACCATTGTTTACACCATACCGCACGCTTTTTTATTCGGGATTTTTGTTTCACAAGAACAAAAGCTGCCAAAGCGAACGTATCGTCGTCCTTGCTCTACATATTTTATTAAACTACCTCTATTTTTATCAAGTATGCTTGTACGTGTGGTGTCAAAGGCAAATTGTGCATACTTGTACAAACATATTGAATAAGCATGCAAGCAGTTGAACGAGAATAGGATTATTACTGCGGCGCCATAGATAAGAGAGTTAGGTTAGGTTTCTGCGCGGCGCTCAATTCACAGTAGATTGGAACAAAGATAGCCAAGGTCAACGTACGTTTTAATATATACACCCATCCGTTTGGTGGCACTACTAGTCTCGTTCCACGTGATGATCGTTGTCACTTTATGTCATCAAAGTCTTTCTTCCCTTGAGAAAAACACAACACCATACACGATACACAAATACCGGTATGCTACTCAAGGAATAGAAATGAGTACTCCGACGCGCATGACGTCACCTGCGAAACAACAATACAGGGTACTAAGGTGTTTGAGATATAGGATTCCCTGTCCCGGTAGATGTATTTGTGCATCGTGCGGAAGTTGAATTGTTTTTACAAAGCCTCTCATTTCGATCTCTTTTTCTAGTGTTTAGTCTATTTAGTTCAAATTTGTGTATTATTGTCCAACATGCTGGCTTGTGCCGTAGCTAATTGTAAAAATTATAATATCCCCACATATAAGATCACCAGTGACATTGGTATTGGAAATACTGCCGTTTGGTCTCAGCTGAGTGTTGGATATGACAAAAATTGTTTTATTAATCACCCCTGCAATAAGTCTTTATCATTTTTGTTTTTTGCGGATCCTACACATTTGATTTGACTTGACCGAAATCATGTAATTGATCATGATTTTGTTATTGACAATAAAATAATCAACAATGATTACTTTGAAGCGCCACTAAATATATCGACTTCAGAATTGACAATTGCGCATAAATTGATCATCTCTGTTTAAAAGGCCCTATAAGGCAAAGAGTGAGACCTGCAGTTTAATTATTGTCAAATTATGTAGCAAAAGCTAGAGGAAATGGACTTATGCCAAAAAATAGTTACTGGAACACGAAATGTATATGATACAGATTTAGATAGGCAGGCACGTCTACTGGATGAAATGTCAGAAATGGTCAATTCAATGCGGGTTCGTAAATATAAAGGATTTATTCCATTTTAAAAAGGAATATTGTCTACTAATAGATCTTTGAAAGACTTACTTCCTCACCTAAAAGCAAAATACAACTTTAACTATATTTTAACTTCGAGGTTGAATCAAGCGCTAGAGAATTTTTTTCTTATATTCCAAGAATAGATGGTGCAAATGATCAACCTTCGCCAATAGATTTTAAATATAGATTAAGATTAAGGTGGTATATTTTAGGAAAATATTCGGCGGCGATCTTTACAGAATGTCGCAATACTATTAAAACTAGTGAATTTGGCGTAAATAACAGCTCAATAGAAAGTCCTCAATTACCTAGCGATATTTCGGCGTCAGAAGATATTTGCTTGACACAAAAAATGCTGTCTGATTTGGTAGAAAAAACTGAAGGTTCAAAAGAATCTCAGTCTAAAGAGGACAAAAAATACATACATCAAAATACATTAATAGAAGCTCACTACTTGGAGGAGAATCATATAATTGACGATCACATTTTGACAGTAGCAGACAATTATAAGGTGAAAGAAAAAATTCATCGGGACTCTTTGAAGTATGTTGCTGGTTTTGTTGCATACAAATTCAAGCATAAATATAGTTTAGGAAACCCTACAAAATTAGGAGACATATAAAACTAGATTGGCTACAGACAGTCTCAAGAGTTTTTGTTTACCCAAATGAAGTTTTTTAACTTCAAGAAATAAATTTTGAACATTGCACATCACATAACAATACATTATGATTATACTCAATATAGAAATTATTTACACAAGTGTGCCGTGGCTGAACGAGTTTGTAAGTTAGTATGCCTCAAGCTAAAAAAGGTTGGGAACCGCTGATCTAGATGATGTGGAGAAATGCGTAAGTCGTATTAATCTGATTGTGATATTGTAATAGTATATTACATAACGAGAGTTGTAAGAAGCTTATTACATGCGAGTAAAAAAGTTGCGCGCGAGCCGCGTAGCGGCGAGCGCAGTAATTTTACAAGCATGTAATAAGCTTACAACTCAAGTTGTGTACTATACTTTTTCTACCATTATTTTCGTTTATAAAAATAAAAATTAAATTACCACTATATTTACACTGACATATTAATAATTTTTAATCTGTCAAAATAACGTCTGTTAATTCGTTTCCATGGTAACTCGACCAACTGACTTACAAGGCTTATGTGATATTACACATTTTTATAAAACTGAAGTGTAATTTTTTTTTATTACGTGCTAGTCATTACGTGTCAGTATCTGTTATGATGCATTTACTTAGCATCCAAATAGTAGGTAATATACAATTTACTAGTAAGCGAGTAGAAAAATAAATTTAGAGGACAGTTTATTCGTTTTAAAGTGTCTTTAAATTGGTTAGGGATCGCTTCTTAACTATCGACTTCTAAAGTCAGTCACTTATTTTTCTATATACCGGTGTAGTACGTATATAAAATACATGAAGGTCTTGTAATTTCTGACTAAAAGTTTGTGTTTCGTTCACACTATGACTTTGTCTCTTCCAAATAAAGTTTCCTTTATTTGGAGCTCACCTCAAGACAAAAATACTCTGCATATTTTATACGCCTGTCCTTATAAATATAATTACATACTTAAATTATTTCTTTGATTTTCGGTAGATTTGAGATTAGAAAGTGTATTTTCATCAATACTTTAAGGTATTCTAACTAATATTCATCTATCTTAACTGAGTACACGTCTATATTTCTACCCACAGCTACAATTTGAACAAGCTTCCCTTTCCAAACACAAAAATAAATAGAAAAGTTACTAAACCTACTTGCCCAAACCTGAGCAGCGTTCAAAGTGCAGTTACCTTGTGATTGGCCGATGAACGACTCCTGGCCTTATAGATCGTGCAACCAGCTTGAACAATAGCAACTATAACCAAGGCAGCTATACAGCCCAACACGATGTACAGTTTGGCTTCGGTCAGGTTGAAGAAGTTGTCCGAAGATGGTGAAGCGTCTGTTATGAGGTTTGTGGTTACTGTAACAGAAAAAACTATTTGTTAATGACTGAATTGTATTAGTAATATTAAATACGTTAATAATATTGTCAAACTTACTAAGAAACTTTGACAAGCAAAAAAACTTGTTAGTGACATTTTAAAAAGATTATTAAAAATTTGCTTACTGCTTTGTGGTTCAAAAACGAGAAATTGGGGATCGAGTTTCAAGTTTCCTATTCTTCCTGAACCGACGCTTTCTTGTAAAAGCTTGTGCACCTTTTCGTCAATTTCTGAAGTATCTTCAGTCAAAAATCTTCCTTGTTCTGCTGATGGTTTTCCCAACTGGAGATTTATTGTCGCAATAAGGTTATTTTGATCGCTATAAATATATTTAAAATAATTGAATATTGTTTTAGAATGCAAGATAATAATAATTATACTGTATAATACGATGTTAGTTTTATTGCTTTGTTATAAAATATACATAACTTTTGAAAAGTTTTATAGAACACATAGTTGATGACTATTAACCGTTAAGGTCAGAAGCCAATAGGAAGCTTTCGAGTTTCTCCGGCTTTGTACCTTCTTTTGGTAGATACATTTATTTACTGTGTATCATTGCAGTGTTGATGCTCAAACTGTAAGTTTGTAATTTGTAAAACCGGTGCAGTGGATCGTGTGTGTCTAGAGAAGAAATAGAATTTTCCGCAAATCGCCAGGAAATTTTGACATTCCTGTCAAAATTTCTTGAAGAAAAAGTCAGGACTTCCTTACTGTAAGGAAATGTCATTTCCTTACTGTAAGGAAATGATATTTCCGTACAGTTGTTAGTGTTAACCAGCAATTAAATTTATAAGCGTCAAGTTTGACAATTCAACCTCAATACGTTTCCATAGTAACCCAAGTAATTTTATTAGGAATTTCAAAGCACTATTTATTTGGGAATAAAATTATCGCGTTTTTTTTTTAAATCAATCAATATCTGTCGAATTTTAAACGATTTGCGGAAAAATAGTATGTTTACCTCGTAGGAAAAGCCACATTCCTGGACTCTGTGTTGCTAAGTCTCGGCTTGCGCCTCGACTTAGCAATCTTCACAGTCGTCCAGGAATGTTAAGCTTTTCCTACCCGGTAAACAATGTACTATTTGTGACTTGAGTAATTGTTTTATAATAAAACTTTATTTTTCGGGTATTATGGATTATGAAAAAGAGCAAAAAAGATTGTTAGCACTTTTTAAAGAAGTTTCGACGGGTGAACTATGATGATGAAGAGGAATCGGAAGAAGAAGATCATATAAATGAAAACTTGCAGGGTAGCGATATGGAACAGCAAAATATTTTTGGGCAAAGATAATAAAACAAAATGGGCTAAGCTTATTGCTTATTATTATTATTATTTTTGCATAGCAAAAACGAATGCAAGAGAAAAAAACAGAGCGGAATGCTGCTTCAGATGTGGCAAAGAGGGTCATCAGACACGAGAATGCAATAATCAGGAGGCTTTTTGCCTCAATTGTAAAAAAGCCGGGCACAAAGCCGAAAGCTTACGATGCCAGGAGTATCGGAAGGTCAAGAGAGACCCTATCAGAAGGGAGGAGGAAAGAGTGGGTGAAAGCACTTAGGACCAGGAATCAGACAGCGTACGGGTAAGTAAGTTAAAGAGATAAGACCCATTTATTACGAAGTTTTTACCAATAAATTATTATATATTTAAACAAAATGCATCCAAAGGACTATTTTTATGGCCGTGTACTAGATCGTGTGTGATAACTGATACACAAAATTAAACTGCCTCTACTGAAAGTGTAAATTGATGATAGAATTTGCGCTTTTGCATTTTGATTTAATAGAATCTTGTATTTTTGGACACAAAAATAATTTCAACATTTCGTATAACACCTACCTATTAATTTGCTCAATGTGCAGTCTTCTATACCCAGGCAGCCTATTAAATACCGGCTTAAAACTCTCTTCGATTGAATTGGATAGATCTTCGTATTGAATGGTTCCTTGTTTCGGGATTTCAAAGTTCTCGCCAAGTTCTACTAGTTTGACTTTCATACTGTAGCCAAGACCTGGAGCTTCAGTTGTCGTTAGGTATTCGTCGAAACTATCATCTGGAAGGAAAAAGTAAAATGAATTAGGTTTCTCTTTAAGCGGTCATTCTAATACCAGATTCAATACAACTGAACATAATTATATGAAGAAAGGAAATAACAACCTGAAGTATGAAAAGACAGCATAAACCACATCAGATTCGTTAATCAAAATGCAGTTAGAACCGAAATATTAGTAATAGTTCGCTTTTTTGTGTTAGTTTTGAGGAACTAAAGAAGATAAGTTGTGTGTTATTTTGAGTAGCTGTTACTATTCATCCCCTGCACGATCTATCGATATGGTTTAGGTGAATTTGAGTGAATAAATACGTGGTAAAACAAACATACAATAGGACATCGTGTATATTTTCTCATATTTAAATTCCTCTTATAATGGCTGTTATGATCGCTATGGAATCAACACGCTGTATATAAAGAAGGAATTAATAAATAAGTATTTATTTTACATAATAAGGTTGACAATATGTTCTTTATTCTGTTCTCTTGAGGTTGATAGCACAGCATCTCATTATAAATTTAAAAATGTGTCCGAAACACTAGAGGTTCCTTAATATTGTTCTGAAGCCATTTTCTTGTGGCATTTTAAAGTCTTTACTATTTAAATGGGAATAAGCCACAATTAAAGGTTAAAATAAATTTATCGACGACTCAATTTCCACTTCGGAAATCGTTCTCAAAATACAAACATTAGTAAAAAAACTTTTTTTACTTGTTCGTCAATTCCAGTTGTTCTCAGAATTTAAATCATCTTTTGATGGTTAACGCAGTCAAATGCTTTTCGATAATCAATAAAACATGCATATACATCAATATTCATGTCTCTGCATCGTTATGTTAACACATTGAAGGCAAAAAGAGCTTCTCGTGTACCCAATCCATTTCGAAATCCTTAAAAGGAAAACTTTTAAGGTCATTATACATCATGCACTATTCGATAGTCATAGCAGTATGAGGCATTCGATTTTTGGCAATATTAAGAATGCTGATTTTAACCAGTCTGATGGTATTTTACCTGTGTCATATATCTTATTGAATAATGATGTTATTAAGTCGAGGCCTTTACTTTCGTTGTCTGCAATTAATTTAAGTATTTCGACATTGATATTGTCTGGATCGGTGGCTTTTCCGTTCTTCTGAGCTTTTATTGCATAAATAACTTAGGACTATCATCGTCAAAAAGTGTCTGAATAACTAGGTAGCTAGTTTAGTAGTACCTAATGTAAATAAGTCAACCGTTAGACGAAGCTAATTGTTGAATAGTGACCAAGAGCAAATAAGAGAAGTAAAGGCAATCCTGAAACCAGATAAACTGATAAAATCAAGCGAATGGCTGGTCACGAATGGATGAAATGGAATGGATGATATTTTCTTTTAACAAATAGTTTATTTTTGATATTCATTTTTATGAAGTATTCCCTCTATCTACTAAACTCATTACTTTCCGAAACATTTTTAATTTTCTCCAAATTTCGTGAATACCTTTAATTTTTGTTATTGGAATGGAATTGGGCAATTCTTCATATTGAATTGTTACAAGTTTCGGGATTTCAGAGTTTTCGCCTAGTTCTATTAATTCAACAGTCATGCTGTGGTCAAGAAGTGGAGCTTCAGTTGTCGTTAAGTATTCATCCAAACTATTATCTGGAAGGAGAAAGTAAAATAAATTAACTTTTTCTTCAAGCGTTAATTCTTTTACCCGATTGAACGTAATTATATGGAGAGCAACTAAATTTAAAGATAAAAGTTAAGACTTGATAAATATATGAAGAAAGGAAATAACAACCTCGGGATCTAGCATGAAAAGGCAAATCGTAAAACATAAAATACTTTGTTTTCAAAAGAACAGAAGCAAATTCTTTAATCAAAATGCAGTTAGAACCAAAATATTATCGATATTTCGCTTTTTTCAAAACGAAATTTCTATACTGGCGTTGTATTACTTTTTCTCTATAATAAAATGCTGAGGTAAAAGTCACAAAAATAGCGCCACGAAACACGAAATAGAATGACACCAAACAGTTGGAAGAGTTTATTTATGCGACGAGGGAGACGGATAGAAAATATCCACTTTTTTATGGCAAAAACATTTTTCCTCTTCTTCCCTCTTTTACGTAAGATTTAAAGCCTGTTTCTTCTTCAATATTAGCCTCCTAAATTCTTTCAATTATCGCACCATCTTTTTCTTGGTCTGCCAATACTTCTTCGTCTATTTGGTGATTTATCTCGTGCTATTCGTACTATCCCATCCTCTGCCACTCTACTAATGTGTTCGCTCCACTCCTGTTTCCGTTTTGTTACCCATTTATTTATGTCTTCTATATTGCATGCTCTTGTTATGTTTTCGCTTCTCTCGCTATTTAACAGACTTTTCCTTGGTGTTCGTCGAAGTATTTTCATCTCTTCATCTCTGTTGTTTTTAGTAGTCTCTCGTTTTAGATGTGTTAGGTCTTGTCTTCGTCGTGTATGTTAATATAGATCTAATTGCTGCTTTATAGATTCTTGTGTTTGTGTCTTGTCTTAGGTGTTTGTTCTTCCAGATTGTGTCATTAAGCATGATCATGACATTTACGTACTGGTTGTATTATTTTGTCCATTATTATATTAAAGAGATGTGGGCTTAACGAGTCACCCTGTCTAATTCCGCTTTGCAGTGGTATACACTGTGTTAGTTTTCCATCCATCTTTGGCTGTATTCGGTTATGGAAGTAGATGTTTTTGTATAACATTGATTGGTATGTTTCTTGTATACAGTAGGTGTAAAACTTCTTCGACTTGGATGCAATCGAAAGCCCTTGTCAGGTCTATAAAGCATAAATATGCTGGTTTATTGTACTCGATGGCCTCTTCTGTGATTTGTCTTAGTACAAATACGGAGTATACGCAGGATCTTCCAGATCTGAATCCTTGTTGTTCATCTGATCCAGATCTGTTAACTGTCATGCCCAGTCTTCATATTTTGTTCTCCTTACCAACTGCTTTGTTTCAGTTCGTATTCTTCTATAGTTGTCTCGGAATTTTCGAGTATTTGATGTTTTGTACTTCGTGTAGGCCTTTCGTTTTTCTTTACATTTATCTTTTATTTCTTTTCTGAACCATGGTGTATTGTTGTTGTTTCTTTTGTTCATCATGTCTTTGCGTCTTCCTAGAGCTTCTGTTGCTGTTTCTTCAATGTTGTTTTTAATTTTCTCCCAGCTCGCGTTTATATATTCGATGTCGTCTATTTGTTCAACTGTATCTTTTGTGCTAGCCTCCTTTGGTACATTTCTCTTGTAGAGTCGTTCCACACTGATTCTACATTAAATTTTTCCTCGGTGATTTCCTGTAGAAAATGTTTTGGTGTTATCTTGATTCTTATTTTTGATAGTACCAGTTTGTGTTAATTCGCTACGTCTGAGTTGAAAGTTTGGATATCTAGAATCTGCTTTGGATGAAATTTTCTATTAGTGACTAAAAAATCAATCATAGATTTGTGCCCCCTGAAGTTTTCAAATGTATATTTATACTGGAGCTTATGGTTGAAAAATTTATTATTGATCTTCAGTTTGTTAAAAACACAGAGATTAGCTATAAGTTCTCTATTTGCGTTAACATGGTTTTCTTTAAATCTTTGTTTTACTCCTGGAACTATTTCATTTCCGATTCGTGGAATAAAATCACCCATAAGAATTAAGGGTTCTTCATAAGATATTTCATCCAGGATAGTTTGCAATTGTTCGTATAATGCTTCTCGTTCCTCCTTCGGTTTTAGGTTTCAGTCCTCGGGGCTATAGATAGAAAAACATTGATTTTGAAATTTAAGATTACACTTTTGGAACCATTTTTGATATTGAAATATGTAATATTCCAAGTAAACGGATTCCTTGAGGCTAGTGGTGAGTATTATATGTCCTAGAGAAGCCTTATTGTGTCTGATATCTTTTAGTTTTTATTAAAACCAAGACCTTTGTACTGTGGCCTGATGATGGGGTATATATTGTAAGCCTAGAAACCAGTAGCCTAAATTTAACTACAAAAAAACCTACCTAGATTGTGAGAATTGACTATATATCAGTATTATGGACTATCCTTGGCCACCTATTCATCATTTAAAAGGAATCTAAGAGGTCCGTAATTTCAGGATCATCGTAAGATAATACAAAAAACAGGCAAGATGAAATTCGCAAAAAAATTACTAATCTGAGTATCAACACAACTAAAAACTATTTTTCAAGAAGGAAATAGTTTTAATTCTTCTGTAGTAAATAAGTAATTGGACGTTTTACCATAAAATATTAGAAATCTAGTTTATTTTAAGTCATATGACAAAACTATTAAAAGTACTTACCATTTCCACAAGATCTGATACATATCTTTTCCGTGGAGACCGTTGGAGTAACCTCGTGTTTTCTTATTTTCTTATTCACACTATTAAATGCTCCGCCTCTGGTTGGGAACATCATAAAGAGACAAGTATCGTCGGCAAATGAAAGATCTTTCGGATCATCAGATATCCTCTTTCTAGCGAATGATAGAGTTGTCACTCCATTTACTATTTTCCCCGAGGTATTAAATATGTTCTGGGATGCATCTAGAAGTGGAAGGGAGTAACCGTTGATCCACGTATCCATTAAGAACGGCCGACCAGCTTTGTCTACCCAGCCCAATATAGCATCAGTTTGTGACTAAAATATTAAAGAACTTAACAAACCTGATAAAAGTTGTATATCTAATAGAAAAATGCATATAACTTTTTTAACTTTAATTTTGAAAAGCAATTGCAGTTTTTTTCTTAATTTTATTAATTAATACAATAGTTATCATAGTTTAACCATTTATAGAACACTGGTAAAAACACACACTAACGTGTGTGCTTCTATCCATAAGCATCTATTCATAAAAAAATTAGAACCTTTACCCAAAGATGATACAGATACTGGTCCCCTAATTTTTTTAACTTTCTCCCGTTTTTGTCGTTTGTTTAAGAGTTTGAGTTTGATTGAACATTCTTTCTTCCAAGGTACCATTAGAGATACAATTGAGAATGGTGTCTGGCGTGTCCTTGATCCAATCATGGCTGTTGAAGTAATGGCTCCAGATGAATTCCAAGGGGAAGGAAGGCATAGCTCAAATTAACAAGCGACATGAAATAGTTATTGGTACGGAAGGTACCGAAGGTTGGTTCACAGTTCACGAGAAAGTACCGTTAAACGATATGTTAGGTTATGCAGATAAATTACGCTTAAGTACTCAAGGCAAAGGAGAATTCATGATGGAATATTCCAGATATTTGCCTTGTTTGCCGGAAGTTCAATTGAAACTTATTATGGAATACGAAAAAGCCAATGAAATTGTACCTGACAAGAATAAGAAACAGCAGAAGAATTAACGAGATGGTTCGTTGTTTAGGAAAAATTATTTATTGTCCAATCTAAGCTAAAGAATTTTTTATATATTTGCATAGATCATTTCAAAGCGTACCAAAACTTCAAACATTGACACTGTGAGATACTTTTGTCAGTAAAACGGTTTATATTTTTTATTTATTTTCAAAATGGTTAAAGTTACTTAAAGTTATAACTTTATTTGTCTTTCCCTCTATGATTAAAAATGCAACGCATTATACAATGCAAATAAAAAGTATACAAAGTCAAAAATATTCTAGTACTTACCATTTTCTCGTTATGCGAAAAACCAATTCCGGTCCACGTATCAATATGTTTAGTCGTTATAGTAAACCTGATGGTATCTTTCCTTGGAATAAGTTCCCATTTTGCTGAATACTCACAGGTGTAATTATCTGGATTGCAGTGGCGCGGTATCTTCCAAATTCCACCACAGTCTCTATTTTCTGCAGTGTCACTTGTTGCGATCACTCCAGCAGGTTCAATCATTTTCTTCTCATCTAAAAACGTTCTGTGTTAAAGTTTTAGTATTTCATATTTCAGCATAAGGATAAGTATCTAAAAAAACTGAACAACAAATAAAAGCAAGTATTTACTTTACTGATATACAAAAAGGCAGTAGATTGGTGTGTAGAAATTACCGAGGTATCAGTATTTTGTACACGATGGTCCGTCTACAAGAAAGATTTATTAAAACTCGAATAGAAATTTATATGACATAAAGTAAAGAGCAAATTCTATCCACCTAAAACCGTAGACTTCTAGACTTCTTCGTAGACCTCCAAAAGGCATATGATAGTATTTTACTCTTGCGACTGTAATTAACATTGATGGGAGTACCAATAGTGGATAGTGGATACTCTTCTATTTGGTGACGATCAGGTTATCATAGATATTAGATGTGTCATTCATGATCTGAATGACACATCTAATATGGGGTCGTCTAGTCGTCAAACGGTGCAGACCTGCAAAGATTAGGTCGCATTGGGCTATTAGAGTGGACCTAATACGCACATCGGTGTGCATCGCCCCACCTTTTACAATTTATAAAAACTGTTATTGGTTGTTGGTCTGAAAACGCCTATATAAGGACGTACCTAAGAAAGCATATATAAATATGGGACATTGTCCGCCAATCGCTTAGTTCTTCGAGATCTTCGAGCTTTCTGCTTGGCCAGACAACCCCAACATAGGGTTTCTATATCCTGGGGGCTCCCTTTTAGGGTCCTGCTTTTGTTCATGTAACACTTTATTGGGTTGTGTTCCAAACACCAAGAATCTTCCGCTATATCGGTTTAATAATTATATTAGTATTAGTAATTATTAGTATTAGTATTAATATTAGTATTAAGTATTAGACTTAGTTATGAATGTTTTTTATATCTGTTATAGTTTCCAAAATATAGCCGGATTTTTATTTAACTTACCGAAGAAATTCAAACTGACAACTCCTCTTTGTTCTTTATGACCGTGGTATTTAAGTTCGTCTGGCTTGTAGAAGTCCTTTATTTTTGCCTCTGCAGATTCGACTCCAGATTTGGGCACGTGAACGTATTTTCCGGGTTCTTGACCTTGAGCGAAAATGACGTGCATCAAGTCATTTTCAATAGCATGATCTGTGGGTTCTTTGGAGTCTAGCTTTCTTCTAAAGAGAATTGTAGTTACACCATCCTAAAACATATTAATTATTATTATAATTATATAGCTAAAAATTTTTAATAAAAGGGTTTAAAACATATATCAATTGTATTTATAAAATTGACTAAATTATTCATCTTTCATAAGTATGTGAACTTAAACAAGAAATAATTTTAGTTGTTGCTAAATAGTAAATTATATAAGTGGTCAACTTCCGTTTTTTGCGTGGCGTTGATTGGCGCGGTTGCTACGGATAACGAAAATCGTCGATAAACTAAAAGCAAAAAAATTAAAATTTAGTTTTATCGAAAGCTTTAATTTACAGTTTTCAAAAATGTTTTAAGCTTTTTGAAAGTTGTCTATCACTTACTTCCGCTTCTTTGATTGTATTGCACTTAACGAAGAATCAGTTTTTAAGCGAATAGCGCGTCGTCCTGATCCTCTAGGTGTTCTAAAAGTTTATTCACGTGACAAAAGGTCGCTTTCTAAGTCTTCTTCATCACTTTCCATTTTGTTTTCTCCTCGCTATTTTTTTAAGAGTTATTCATCCTCTAGACGCTCAAATCATGCTCAATCATAACCCTTTTGCAAGTTTCATACATCCACGTTCTCTCCCCTGGAGCTCAATTCAATAAACTTTTATAGTCAGGAAGTTCATTTTCATCATCTCCAACTGCTAGTTCTTCACAATTTCCGATGTTTTGTAACAGTTTTCTTCATGACTTCCTAATTGTGGAAGACTATACAGACTTCTACGTAGATGGGATTTCGTAAATACGGTCCAGATTAGTCAATAAACTCCAAAACTCTAATAAGTTATATCCTTTTTCAATTTTTTTGATAAGTAACTTTGTTCTGTAGTTTCTCTTCATAGACGCAATGACACCTTGGTCCATAGGCTGAACTAACGCAGTCGTCTTTAGGGGCAAAAATTTGGTTAACATTTTGGCGTCAGCAGACTTAAGTACATCCATTTTAGAATGTGAACAGGCGTTGCTAATCAACAACGTAACATCTTATGGCAAATTGTTTGCAAATGTTTTTTGACTTGTGGTACAAACACTTTTGAAATATTTTTCATCTATTTATCCTTTCTTTTGGTTGAAGTAATCAACAGGTAGATTTTCTGCTCTAGTTCTAAAAAATCCTAAAAGATCTAGGTTTCTTGTCTTACCAATTCACTCTCAACGTCAGTTTGTGTTTTTCTGCAGAATTGCTGTAGCGCATAATCTTGATCCATTCTTTGCTGGATTCATAACCCCCTGCTTTATCTTCATTTGTAAAAGCTAGAAGAGTCCCGATTCGTCTGTATTATAAATTTGTTTGTAGTCCTGATCATTTAAAGAAGGTCGCCGCTAATGAAGTCCTATCTTCTTCATCCCATAGCGTTGTTTAAAGGAAGTCAACCACGTAGACGAAGCATCAAAATTTCCTTCCAAACGTACCAAATTATGCCAAATCTCCCAAATATCCTATTTCCTTCATCCCATAGCGTTGCTTAAAGTGAGTCCAACCACCTAGATGATGCATCAAAATTTCCTTCCAAACGTTTTGCTTTTGTAGCAATTATTGGATCTGATATGGGTATGCCCCTATTACGAACTTAAGCTATCCATTCTACCAACGCTCTCTAATTCTAGGTAAGACGAGGTTTTACTTGTTTTTCTCTTCTTCGTGGCAGAACTTTCTGATATTGACGTAAATAAAAGAAGTTTGTTCTTTTGTTTTAAAATAGCTCGCACTGTTGATTCACCGATACCGTATTGAACGCACATAAGTTTGCGAAAAGTATTTTTAATTTTACTTCTAACTCTCTCTACTTTTAGATTTAGAAGAGTTGTAACTTTTGATTAATTGTCAACACCTAATCGTCCTTTTCACCGACAAAACAATAAAAAAATATTTTAGCTCAAAATAACATAATATAATAATGACGGATTGATTACGGCTGTCACCGCTTCTCCGCCCCCCAATTTCCATCTTTTTCTGTCATATGCAGTTGCTTTTTCTAAGTCTCTTGCCGCCATTGCTTCATCAATGGCGGCAAGAGACTTATTTCTTTCTTCTTTCAGGAGGGATCCATTCCAGTACTCTTCTAGGCCATCTGTACTCTAGCATTCTTTTAACATGGCCGAACCAGATTAATTATTTTCTTTCTATGTCATCATTGATATTTCGCTCCATTTTCATTTCGTTCCTTATTTGTTCGTTTCTAACTCTCTCCAGTTTCGATCTACGGCAGCTTTGTCCCAGATTATCCATTTCTGTCGTCATAAGTTTGTTTCTATTAGCTTTGGTGACGTCCCATAGTTCCGAACCGTAAAGTGTAATACTTTGGACTATACTACCGTAATAGTATATTACATAACGAGAGTTGTAAGAAGCTTATTACATGCGAGTAAAAAAGTTGCGCGCGAGCCGCGTAGCGGCAAGCGCAGTAATTTTACAAGCATGTAATAATCTTACAACTCAAGTTGTGTACTATACTTTTTCTACCATTATTTTGTTTATAAAAATAAAAATTAAATTACCACTATATTTACACTGACAGTTTAATAATTTTTAATCTGTCAAAATAACGTTACCATGAAAACGTTAATTCGTTTCCATGGTAACTCGACCAACTGACTTACGAGGCTTATGTGATATTACACATTTTTATAAAACTGAAGCGTAATTTTTTTTTATTACGTGCTAGTCATTACGTGTCAGTATCTGTTATGATGCATTTACTTAGCATCCAAATAGTAGGTAATATACAATTTACTAGTAAGAGAGTAGAAAAATGTGTTTTTTGGTTTCTCGTCGAATTGTTTTTTGGCCAGAGAAGAGAGTTTAAGGCACGGGTCGCTGCTCTGCCCTTGTTTATTCTTTTTCTGATTTTATCTGCGCTATTTCCCTTCTTGTTGAAAATAACCCCCAAATATTTGCAGGATTGCACGCCTTTGATTTTGTCGTCTTTAGGTCGTTCCTACTGAGAGATATTCACATTTTGTCATACTCATGTTTAGACCTGCCACCTCATATTCTTCTTGCAGTTTTCTTACCATATAGCTAAGATCGTAGCTGTCTTCGGCAATTACTACCTGGTTATCCGCAAAGAAAAGTGTATATAGTGTGTTTTCTTCCACCGTTATTCCCATGTTTCTACATTTTTTTACCCATTTTACTAAGGATCTGTCCAAATAGATTTTAAATAAGGTGGGTGACAGACAGCAGCCTTGTCTTAGTCCCTTTGTTGTTTGAAAAGGAGAGATGATTTCTTGTCCTTTTTACATTCTTGCAAAGTTTTGTTCTTAGTATTTTTGCGTGGCGTCAAAATAACATAAGTGCATTAAAAATCCCCTCTCATCACTGCCGGAGATGACTGATGAATTTCTTGTTAAGAAATCTATTGGAAAAGTTCTTGCTATAGTTTTTGGGATGGCCAAATCGTGATTGATTTTTTGGATAATGGTAAAATAAAAAATAATTTTTATAAGGTCTAGGAACGTTACAGATTCATTGTAATAAATATATTCAATAAAGAGAAGAGTATATTGAATAATAAAACAGTTTGACTTCCTATTTTTTTTTGTTTCTATCATATATTAAGGATTTTTCAATCCATCATCGTACATGATATCTGGATTAGATTATTTGAAAGGTGGATTTAATATTAATAATAATTAGTATACAAATTTAGTGATAAAAATAAAAAACTTTTTTAATGTTTATTAAATTTATACTTAAATGTAATCAAAACGTTACCTTTTCGAATCCCATAGCAGTGGTAAGATCATTTTTGCCTCCCCAAAAGGAGTCCATTCTCGGAGTTGACCGATCTCTGGTGTAATAATCGGCAATTCTGCTATTATTTCCTCTTGCACTTCCAATAATGATATCAGTGCAGTCCATGGGATTAAAATCATGGCGCGGTGTATAAGGATTGAGATGCTCTTCTTTTTCGGGTCCTAAACGGTAGTTAAATATACATAAGAGACATAGCAATACAGTTTTAAAAAATGTGATGTATATAAACGATGAGAGTTAATAAAAATTATTGTGTAAATGAAGTACTGAAAATGTAGCGATAAAAGTTTTTATTTTTTGTTGATATTGTGGAAGTCTACGGAAGTCTACTCATGACTCAAGAGGAATGGTCTTTCGGTGTTCTCAAGTAAAAAAATAACTGAAGATATCAAAACTAGGTTAAAAATATAAATTGTGTTATGTAGCAAAACACTAGAAATGAGGTTGGTAGAGTTGGTGACAGAGAAATGAAAGAGAATGTGGTAGAATTTTTTACGAGTGATAAAAGAATGTTGCGTGTATATGCTCCACAAGTCTGTCTAGACGAGAGTGAAAGCAATGTTTTCGTTCTTCAATGTGTCCTGTTTAAAACAAAAAAAAACGGTTCCGAACTGACTTATATCGAGAACTACTTTGTTGGTTTCTATAAAACTAGGTACAAATTATTCTAGTAGTACTCCAGTCCAACGATCAAAATCAAAACTCCACTGAAATAGCAAGTTCATCAGCTCTTTCATTGCCATATATTCTCCGATTCTCCAATAACCTGGCATCCATACCCATGTGGCACTGTTTTATCGAGCTCTTGTCGACGTCGAGATTTCCACACTAGTTTTGAGTCAGTTTTAGATTTCCTTAGAGCCTACATAGTCTTAATTTACACGTTTAATTAATTTCTCTTGTAGGTACAACACAAGATTGCATAAATCTTTGCCTGCACTACAAAAATATATAGATAGTAGATATATAGTAGTAGATATAGATGTAGTGGAATAGATATGTTTATAATTGTAATTTCCACCATTACTAAAGATTCCTACATCCAACACTTTTGCAGGTTTAGACTCGTATGTGTATCAGATATAACCATGCAGCCTGGGTGGTGTGTGTTCTGTGTCATGTCTACCTGGAAAGACCTGTATCTGAGTACCATATGTGCAAAAGTCATTGATCGTGAAAGGTTACGTTGTTCAAGTTTTCTACAGTCTATAATATCCCATTCTTGCCTTCTCCTTATAACGATGTACAGAGGAAGGAGACCCAGTAGGACCGCTATAACTGCTACTGATGTGCCCTTTAGAGTCCCTGTAATTACCAGATAAGCAAATACTTCCTTATAATTGGAGAATTGCATTTTTCTGCTGCATTTCTTTTTTTGGCTGAAATGGAGGGCTACTGGATTAATCTGAATCATTGAGACTAAGGCCCTTAATAAGTCGTAGTTGTAGTAACAAAGTTTTAGTTTTAAATTAACATTAACTGGATACAATTTGTCATCATATCTTATTTACCACATCAGTATATCAGTAGGTTAAATATTTCAATTCTTACAGTTATTGTTTTTAAAATGTTACGGTGAAGTTAGTGGATTATAAGTAAATTAGTGTTGATATCTATTCTATTTTATATTTGTATATTTCAATTTTAAAAGTTGTGCTAATCAAAACAGAAATTTATAGAATGACGAAGAAAAAAAATAATGATTCGATAGAATTTTTCGATAAATAACGAATCACCCTTTAGTTGGAAGAAAATAATAACCAAATTGTATGGTTATTTCTGGTAAAAATCTGGTAAAAATCAAAAAATTATATAAACATTTACAAAAATTTTTAAAAACAAAACGTTTGGGTCACCCTGTATATACTAGTTTAACTAATAATTAACTAATTGGGGAACATACCAAATACTAACTAACAATACTAACTAGCAAATACTAATTAACATAATCTAACCTAACCTAACCTAACCTAACCTAACTAATTAACTAACTCGTTTACTAACTAACCAACTGACTAAATAAGCAAATGAATATATACTGGAAGGACTAACAATCTAAAAGACTTATTATTATGATAAAATAATATATAAATATAATCAATGGTCTACAACATTTCAAAATTCTGTGAAATACGACCCTGCTTGATCTTTTCGAATAAATGTTTACCTTATTTGATTCTCAATGAATGATAATAAGTCTCGTAGATCATTGTCTTACTAAAACGTTTACTATTATATAGTGTACACCAAAAGTAACTTATTTGTCTAGACTTACGAATAGTGTGATTTCCAAAAAGTTTAGAAAAAATGTTTTTAATAAAGGATTTGTTAAATAAATCATGTTCTCAATATAGGACAACTATTCTCTCCATTAATGTTGATACCATGCTCTTTCAGATATGCCTTCTTACAAGTATGTTCTAAAAGCGTCGTGCAAAAAGCGTCGTGAATAGCTTTGGAGAGACTGTGTCTCCTTGCCGTACTCCTTCCAACTCGTTTCTGTTCAGATAGTCTTACGCTAGCTGTGGCATTTTGATAGATATATTTGATTATGTTTGTGTAGCGATGGTCTATTCGGCATTCTGTCAATGCTTTTAACATTTTCGGATGGCTTATAGTATCGAATGCTTTCTCGTAGTCGACAAATACGTAGTCTCGTAGTTCTAAGAGTTTATCATTGAGTTTTGTGGACAGGATGTGTCACCACGTTTTTTCATTCATATGATTGTTCTGGTCGGTTCTGAACGCGGCTGTCGTCCTACTTGTCTTTAATATTTCTTCTTGGATATCATTTTCTCCAAGAGATTTGTTATTCTTTAAATTTCTGATTTGCGTTGTCTGCAAAACATAATATTTCAATTTCTTTGTTCAACATTCTGTAACCATGATATTTACGTACTGCTTGTATTACATCGTCCATTATTATATTAGAGAGAAGTGGGCTTAACGAGTCCCCCTGTCTGACTCCGCTTTGTACTGTGTTAGTTTTCCATTTATCGTTGTCTGTATTTGATTAATTATGGAGGTAGATGTTTTCGATGGTTTGTATAATATGGACAATAAAACATAGATATGTTGGTTTATTGTACTCAATAGCCTTTTCTGTGATTTGTCTTAGTACAAATACGGCATCTACGCAGGATCTTCCGGATCTGAATCCTTGTTTTCCATCTGATAAAGTTGTTAGTTTATTGATTTTTTGTTGTTTAGGACTTTTGTGGTAAGCTTAAGTGCAGTGTTTAGTAGATTTATATCTCTATAAATGTTGTGGTCTTCTTTATCTCCTTTCTTGAACATTGGTATCATTCATTATGCTGTTTCTCCATACGTCTGGGATCTTGCACTGCAATATTAATTCTTGTATAAATTTTGTCATCTTTAAGGTTATATTTTTTCCTCCGGCTTTTAGAAGCTCGTTGATAATTGCGTCTGGTCCTGGTGACTTTCTATTTTTGAGTAAATTTATGGCTATCTCTACTTCCTGAAAACTGATTTCTATTTCGTGTCCTAATTCAGGTACGTTATTGTGTTAATTATTATTTTCCTTTCCTTTAAACAGTTCCTTTAAGTATATTTCCCATTCGTTTACTGGTATGTTATTGTATTCCTTTAATTTTGCCATTTATTTTTATTGGTTTCTTATAAATCTCTTATATTTCTTCTTATATTTGTTTTTGTGTACCGTAAAAGGCTTTCCATCCTTTTTGTAAACTGTTCCCAGTGTTTATTTTTCTCTATGTGTCTCGAGATTCTGGAGTATTTGATGTTTTGTACTTCGTGTAGGCCTCTCGTTTCAACCATGGTGTATTGTTGTTGTTTCTTTTGTTCATTATATATATTTTATATATATTTTTATTAAAATTATTACCATTAAATATTACCATTTTGGCATACATGTACTATCTTTGTATCATTTTGGGGTAGGAGGCTCAGGAATTTTTCTAACTAATACTCATAAAATTAAAAACACAACTGATTTTTCTACAACTATCAAACATCAAAATCATAATGAAATTTACTTTTTGGTACACACTATATACTAAATAGGGAAATTTTATTATCTGAACTTCTGATTTTGATTAACACAATCGAATATTAGTATCTTATGTATTACACTAGTATTAATCAGAAATACACTACCTGCACTACTTCCAACGGTTGAAACTTGAATTTTGGAAAGTTTTTCGGTATTAGAGCTTGGTTCGGGTACAGATTTAGGTTCGGGCTCAGACTTAGGTTCAGGTTCGGATTTAGGTTCTGGTTTGGATTTAGGCTCCGGTTCGGATTTAGGTTCTGGTTCGGATTTAGGTTCTGGTTCGGATTTAGGTTCTGGTTCAGATTTGGGTTCTGGCTCAGATTTGGGTTCTGGTTCAGATTTGGGTTCTGGCTCAGATTTGGGTTCTGGTTCAGATTTAGGTTCTGGCACTGAAGAAGGTTCAGGTTTAGATTTGGGTTCGGGTTCAGATTTAGGTTCTGGCACTGAAGAAGGTTCAGGTGTAGATTTAGGTTCTGGTTCAGATTTAGGTTCTGGCTCTGATTTTGGTTCAGGTACTGAAGTAGGTTCAGGTTCAGATTTAGGTTCGGGTTCAGATTTTGGTTCTGGTGTTGAAGTGGGAATTGGTTTGGGTTTGTTGTCAGTAAGAGCTTTTGGTTGAAGTCTCAGTTTAGGTTTGAGATCCAACCTCGCTCTTGTTTCAGATTTAGGTTTACCGGTAGTAGGTTCAGGAGATGGAACAGGTTCTGATTTGGGTTCGGGTTCAGGTGCAGGAGTGAGATCTGGTTCTGCAGAAGGTACAGTTGTTGCCTCTTGCGTTGTTTCTTGTTCGGTAGTAGGTTCTGGTACAGTTTCTAGAAGAAATTTAAAGACCAACCACCATTAGTTAGACAATATTACTGAAAATTCTACATTACTTGATTTGTGCACAACTTTACATAGTCTTTTCGATAAAAAAAAACGTGGTTTTGCTAATTACAGTGCACCACTACCCGTTATGTGTTTCTCTACTTACCAACATCCCTTCTCCTACGACCTAAAATTAAGAAAAAACATTTAATTTATCGAATATATCCTATGGATACGATAATAATGAAAAGAGAAGTTATTGTTTTATTTATCACCAGAAGTTGCACCTAATCTTGTCTCTCCAAAAGCCGTGAGACCTTGTTGTAGTGGGGTGTTTTTATATTCACTACTTTTGTGTACTCGCCTCGAGGTACCACAGTCTTTCGAATATAGTAAATAATTCTATGTAAAATCAAGGAACTCGTCTTTATTTAGTAACAAGGCAATTACTCAACACGCAATGTACCATAAGTCAATAGGTTGCAGTACAACCTTGCTTATACTGGTATTGCTTCTGTGAGTAAACACAATTAAGTGGAAGGTAAGAATAGCTTAACTCCAGGCACCTGCGATATCCAGTCTACGTTAGCATTATTCCAGTGTGGGAGGCTTAGCAGAAAGTGACCACCCATTCCCAGATTGCTGGAGGACAAAATGACCTAAGCAAACAAGCAAAATATGTGGTGAATCTCAGCAAGGACCCAGAAAGGTTTGAAAGGCAAGGAGTACCTGTTGACGTAAGAGGCTAAATCCTATCCGAAAGTTACATAGATGTCAGGAGACTGTTGAGCTGCAATATGAAGAAGCGTTCGAGACCAAACCATAACTTTATCTAAAATTATCGTCAATCCACGATTTGAAAAGGCCCTTGACGTCAAACGACTTCTTGATCTACAATTATTGTTCTGTAATTAATTGCTGTAATCCGATATGATTGATGGCATGCAACCCTGGTGGATTCCTCTCCCTACTTTGATATCACAGGTGTTTTGATTATCAACTTTTACCTTGGTAGCTTCGATTGCAACGTAGATGAGATATATATGAGTGGATATATTCCACAAAATCGGCTAAAATCTATATTTATCCTTATTACTAAGAAACCAAACGAAAAAAGGTTCGACGAATAGTTTGAAGAGCCCGGCAGTAAAATTGTTATAGATTCTACATAATAGAATCCGTTAAAAATGCGATCTGACTGAATTACAAATGGGTTTTCTAGAAAGATTAGAAACCAGCAGGGCTTTGTTTACGTTAAGTGTAGAGCACAAAGAAAAAACTTTAGCTTTATTTCTAAGATATATTACTATATCCAACATAGTACCATATTCAATATCTGGAACAAAAAAGTTTGAACTTCAAAGATCTAAACGAACATCAAATAGCTACAATATAGCTCGAAAATAGTCGAACAAAAGCTATATTAATTAAAGGTGGAGTCAGACAAGGTTGCATACTGAACCCGTTGGTTTTTAACATGTACTTTTAGATAGTATTTTGAAACGTTCTAGTAAATTCTTAGAATCGTAATGCTTGTCCAGCTGAAAATTAGTATAACGTCACTTAATCTTAATAGTAATTAGGAGAAAATCGCAAAATAGTATTTTCAACCACCCTTGCATAACATTTTTACTCAAAACATAAAATATATTGATTTAAATAGATTATTGATACTTTACCTTGCTTTCTACTGACTTGAAATGAGATACTAGTCTCTACAACATCGCTGACAGGGAGAGCACGTCGCAAAGTTGGAGATTGAGAAGCGGATCGTCTGGAGTAAAGCGATTTTCTGTATTTAGATGGTTGCTGAGTTGTTGTAGGCTCTGGTTCGGGCTCACTCTTTGGTTCAGGTTCGCTCTTGGGCTCAGGTTCACTTTTTGGTTCCGGCTCACTCTTAGGTTCCGGTACTGTCTTAGGCTCAGGTTTTGTTTTGGGTTCAACATTGCTCTTAGACTCTGGTTCACTTTTGGGCTCTGGTACGCTCGTAGGTTCTGGTTCGCTTTTCGGTTCAGGCTCACTTTTGGGTTTTGGTTCTGCTTTTGAGTGATCCGAGCTCGAAGTGGCAACAGGTCCAATAAGAGGAAAGTTTTTACAACTCTTGGTAAGGGATCTTGGCCTCCAGCCTATGGCAGCGTAACTTGTGCCATTAACCACCAATACAGCTTCAAGCTCGTTGTGTTCTTTTAGAATCCTCCAATAAAGGCGGAACGTTGGGCTTAGTTGTTTTTCTGTGTATAGTTCGAAGTCGATTTCAGTTGTTCTAACTGCAGAACCTTAAATCCAAAAAAAATTATATTAACTTATATTTAGTATATGTATATTAAATATATATTTTGCAGAAGACGCATAACATATAAGAAGATTTCGTGTTACTGATAGTACTTTTACTACAAACTCACACCACTTACTGCATTGAATTATCTATTAGAATCGATTGGAATTTATTAGAATCGAGTAGAATCGATTAGAATCGATTGGAAGATTGGAATCGATTAAAATCGATTGAAGTCGTTTGAAATCGATTATAATCGATTGGAGAAATTTGGAATTGATTGAAATCGAATGGAATCGATTGGGATCGAATGAAATCGATTGGGATCGAATGAAATCGAATCGAATGGAAACGAATTTAATGGAATGGAATCAAGTTTAATGAAATTTATGGAATAATGGAATAATTTAAAATATTGTAACATAACTTCACTTACGTTTAATACAACCTGGTCCATACCATCCTAATTGACAATAACATTGTTGTTTTGGAAAAACGGTTCCCCCAACATCAATACATTTGCCATGTTCCCCGCAGTCACTATTTTCGACACACTCGTCTCTGTACTGGCAGATCTCTCCATAATAAAGTCTATCACATTTACATCGTCCGACTAGATTTTTACCATGGCCGCTACATGTCTCCCTGAATTTTCTTCCTAAAATGTTATAGTTATTAATTGTCTTGTATAAAGCGTTATTCAATATTAAATATAGTTTTAGAAAGTAGCTGGAAAAGAGATTTAAGTCTCTTTATAAGATTATACTTAAATAAATAATTGAAAGTATTGTATTTGGTAAATTGTTTATTATATGATGCGTTGATCATAGGGTAGTGGACGTATGCAGTGAGTGGAGACCTACGTGGAACATTATGTTGGGCTTAATCATAGAACAGTGGACGTGTTATAAATTTATAAGTTTATTACAACACTTGGATATCGACTTACATACTTTGATTTCCTCTCTACATAGATGAAACTGTTTGCTTGCTTAGTTTAATCTTTTTAAAATTATTTTCTTTATTCTACAAATACGAACTATCCACACCATCTTGCGAGGCAGTCGTGTCATCTTTCTTCATTCTGTGTGACGTCTAAGATCGGTCGCATCGGTAAGGTTAGGTTCGCTGCTATGCTGCCTTGGTAATCGATTTTTACAGGCAAACAACAAGACGAGGTGACAAAAAGAAAATAATTGACAGCTGACATGACAGCTGCCATCATAATATATATATATATATATATATATATATATATATATATATATATATATATATATATATAGTTTTGATCCTGACTAACTAGATTTAAACTTACCGACATTGGCGCCAGTGATATTAGAATTTGACTTTGACCTTGTGGCCCAATTACCCCATATTCTTATATACACACTAAGGAAGGAAGGAAGATTTGGAAAAAGGTTATTGAAAGTTTGTTAAAAAGGAAAACATTGTGTATTTTTACTAATGGGATCCCTCTCCTATAGTGATGTTTTATAAACTTGACCATAGCTCTGAGAATGGCTTTGTAAGCCAAAAGCGCTCAGCTAGGAATTGAATTTTTTTTCAAAAATACTTTTTTATTTCTTCACTTAACTAAACGTTCAGAAACTAGTTCACCCACCGACCTAATGTTAAGAAGAACTGTAAAATTTATCGAATCAAACCTTACTTCGTGGGATTGTTCGCTTCACTCAAACTTTTATTTGTCCTTATATGGGACTAAGTTTTGGTGAACTTGCTGGCCATACTGTAGTATGGGCATTGAAATCTCCAACAAAAAGAAAAAGTGAACGAAATTGGTATAAGAACAGGACCAGTTCAGTCTGAGCTAATTTACAATTTGGAGTAATACATATACTACATACAGTAATTTTATTTGGGCATGTATTATTTAACTTTAGGAAAAGTGAATATATGAGATCTTGCATATAAGCATAAAATATATAAATATAAAAAATATATAATCAAAATACGTAGATAAAAAGAAAAGCATGAAAAACGTTTAAAAACAAAAACTTACTTGGCAATATATCAACATCTGCACATGACCAGAATTTATAACTTTCTCCCCACTCAAGGGCTTGTCGAATCAGTCTTAATGTACAATTCTCACAGTTAAATTGGTGCGGCAATTGTACTTGAAAGGATTGAGCCCTGAAATAAAAAAAAATAATAAAACAAAATATGCCTATTGTTTCATCCATACAAAACTATTCTGACGTCACTTTCTGTAGATTCACATGACAAGGATATTAAAAGTGAAAGCCAAGGAACAAATGCACGGTACTTTACGAAATAGAATTATATTTGTACTTTGTAATACTAATAAGCCTGATTAGCCCTATATAAACGTATAAAAAAACGTAAAGTATTATACTTACGTGGCATCATTCGATACAAATTCGGAGCCTTGTATCGTTGGTGTCAAGTCTAATACTGGCCTCTCTAAGAAGTCTAATAATTGAATTTTAAACCCTCCCTGTAAATAAAAAATTATCTAATCAGTAATTGATGTTAAAAACTTTTAAAACAATAATAAAAAATAAAAATTTTATGGTGCTAAATACCACTATAGTTTATTTGTTAATTGTTGACAATATAGGTAACCAAAAATTTAATGTATATCACGACGAGTTTAAAAATCTAATTAATTTTAAAGTAATTGTAATTAATATTTTTTGAGCCTGCTCAAGTCTCGCGCTACCTCGCCCGTGGTGGTTAATTCTCGGACGGAACATTTATATACCATTTACTATTGTCCGATAATCCATACAATATAGACATTATAGTAGAATTATTTAACACAATATATAAAACAGGACAAATTCCGGAACAATGGTTACAGAAGAATACAGAACAGTATCATTAATAAGTGTATGTGATGGTAAAAATAGAAGAAAACCTCTGAATTTTTTTACATCTATCGATTAGCTTGAAATTTTGACAGTAGGTAGAAAATAGCTCAAAGATCAATCTACTCTACCTAAGGGGGTGGAAAACGTTTATCAAAAAAATATAGTAGTTGCTAGAATAGTGAATTTTAAGATAAAAATGTTCCTTGGAGTTTTTTTGAAGAAAAGTCAATATTTTGACAATTTTTGTGTTTGGCAATTTTTGTTGTTATTTTGCCTGTATATGTAATCGAGCAGAAGGTACTGGGTTTTTTCTCTGGTGGTGGAAATAGTAATTTCAGTGCTTTCTTGTGTAGTTTTTGATTTAACATTTTATTAATTGTTTGTTCGTTGTATCCGTTGTTTACTGCTATCTGCTTAATTATATTTAATTATGTCTCAAAGTTGTATTTTGACATCGGAATTTCTGTTAATCTATGTAACATACTATGATAAGCTGCCAGTTTCTGTTGTGTTGGATGGGATGACGAATTGTGTATAGTCGTGTCAGTATGGGTAGGTTTATGAAATATGGAGAAGTCATGTTTTGAAGTCTGCTAATTTTTAAATCTAAAAAATTTATGGATTGATTTTGTTCTGTTTCTATTGTAAATTCAATATGACTATGAACTGAATTAATATATGATAAAAATTGGTCGAGTTGCCTGTTAGTTCCTGTGAAACATACCAGTACGTCGTCTACGTATCTCCACCAATATAAAAACTGTTTGAATACGGGATGTTTTGAAATCTTTGTCTCTAGATGATCCATAAAAATATCTGATAGCAATGGGCTTAGAGGATTACCCATTATAAGTCCTGCACTGTTATTTGTATAAATTTTATTATTAAATTCAAAGTAGTCCTGGTTTATGCAAACTTAAAGGAGATGTAAAATTTCAGATGTAATTATTGGATTTGTACTATTTTGGTCTAAAAGGTTTTTTACTAGAATAAAAGTTTCTGTAAATAAACAAATGGAAGATAACTCCGTCTGCAGTTTTGTTGGGTCGATCGAGTAGCTCGACAGAACTGTTGCCGATCCCAAGCCCGGATAAAGGAGGAGGAGATCTACAGGCAGGTTAGCACCCTATTGATAGACTTTAAAACCATACAGCTCATAGAGACAGGATTATGCTTCAGAACAGAAATGATTTCAATACAATAAATAACGCGAGAAAAAGGACAACGAATAACTAGGTATAAACTTGTTAAATACTGCGCTAAAACTTATAACTAAAATTTTACAAGTGCTAATAAATCACAGAATAAGTTTAGCAGATGAGGGTTTTCGTAGTGGAAGATCGTGTACAGGATGAAATATTCGTTATAAAGCAAATTACTGAGAAATGACTAGAGTATAATAAACCGGCATTTCTGTGTCTGATTGACCTAAAGAAAGTATTTGACAGAGTAAGACTTAAAGATGTAATCCATCTTCTGTATAATAGACAAATTCCCTTAAATATTATAGAAACTATCGAAAACATCTACCAAAACAACAAACTAGAAGTCAGAATAGATGGACAACTTACAGAACCTATAAAAATAGGCAACGGAATAAGACAAAGCGATTCATTGAGCCCCATGCTCTATAATTTGATCATGGATGAAATTATTATAAGCGTTAACAAAGGAAGAGAATACAGAATGAGAAACAAAGAAATAAAATCCGATGTAATTAGAAATTGATGGCATCAGTATTAAACAACCTGGGACATTACACTGTCTAGCTATGGAGACCTGGACAAAGAAGTGAGAAGTTAAGTACAAAAAGCAAATAGACTGGCAGGATGCCTTAATAACATTATATGGTGGAACAGACACATTAACACTGAGATGAAATCAAGAATTTATAAAGCCAGTGTAAGACCAATAATGACATATACCTCAGAAACAAGACCCGACACATCCACAACGCAAAGGCTACTGGAAACGGCAGAGATGAGATTACTGGGAAGAATTACAGGAAATACGGTAAGTGATCGAAAGAAAAGTGAAGACATTAGAAGGAAATGTAACGTACAGTGTATACATGAATGGACACAAAATAAAAAAAGAATGGAATAATTACATAAGCAGAATAGAGGAAACTTGTGTCGTCAAAACAGCAAGAGATAAGTCACCAATCGGCAGAAGTATCGGACGACCGCGCATAAGATGAAGTGACAACCTTCCATAGAGGTATTAATCCGCCAATGAACAAGCAGAATTGCTTATAAACAGGAAGAAGAAGAAGAAGAAGACATTTGGGCGATGTACCAATTGAAATGGCTGAAAAATAGAAGTACCTGGAAACCTGGATTTCAGACAATAATGTTCAAATAACAAGTTTAAATTTAAGTTGCCAGGCTATGAAGATTAGACCCTAGAAATAGAAATTCCACAGCGACCGATTAATAGAAGTACTTTTTTTGATCTCATGAGAATCGTAAAAAATGGCAAAAAAAAAAACTTTTATTTATAATAGCTTTATAGAAACTGACTACGCAAAAATTACGTACAAAAGATGCATTCTTCACCTTTTAAAAGAAGGTTGGTTTTTGTCGATAGGACACTCTGATCAAAAGATATCGAATTTTTACCATCCAGTTGATACAAATTTTATTTAATAAAAACTTTCGTAACTGGCGATTGGAGTATGTATGTACCTATTAGGAATGGCGGTTTTTGACAAAACACTGGTTTTCGGTTATACCGGTTTTTTCTGGTTACGGTTTAACCTGGCGGTTATAACCGGCAAAAAAACCGGTTTTTCAAAAACTGGTTTTCGGCTTCTTTAATACAATAGGTTACAAAGTTACATTTACAATGCACTTAAGTTTGCGATACTTCATTCGACTCGATATCAATATGATCAAAATTTGAATTATGGTTTTGTTTTGAATAATTACTTGAGAATAATAATTATAATTGGGATGCAAAATAATACCTAACCTGAATCTAATCACCGTAAAAACATAATAACCGGTTTTTACTTTAAAAATAAAAAACCGGTTATAACCGGGACAAAAAAAACAACCGATAAAACCGGTTATTGCAAAGTAAAAAAACCGGTTTTCGTCTAAAACCGGTAGATTTTTCCCATCGCTAGTACCTATATCCAATTAATTAATGCTATGAAAAGTATTAATATTTCATTGCATGTAGCAAATAACCGAAATGCTTTTGTTTCGTCGACCCCTCATTTCAGCCACAAATGGGCATTGCCTAAAATCGTAAAAATATATGTGTACGTGGGACAGCTAGGTGTAATGAACTTCATATTGCACCAAAATTGTAATTGAATTTTATACCGGAAGCTTTTCTGCCTGAATATTTAAAAAATATATTTAATATTAATAAAACATACAACTCAATAGTTAAGTAGCCTAATTCTACTCAATTGATACTTTAATGACTCTGACTTTTTGATTCTAGGTAATAATATCTTCTTCTTTATTTTTCTTTCAACTGTGAGGGTAAATTTGAAGTAAATAAATATTTTAAATATCTATTTATTTTAGAACTCTTGATTGTACAAAAGGGAGACTACATTAAGAAATAAGATAATCAACAATCATTCTTTTCTATATCATCATCATCATCACTGGCTCGACAACCCTTTTTGGGTCTTGGCCTGTTCAAGGATTCTTCTCCATTCTGACCTGTTTCGTGCTTTTTTTTTCCAGTTTTTAATTTTTAATATTGTTATATCATTTTCTATTTGTTCTACGTATCTCAGCTTCGGTCTTCCTCTTGTTCTTTTTCCTACTGGCACTTGTTTGAATATTTTGTTTGGTATTTCGCCTTCTTCCATTCTTTCCACATGTCCAATCCAACGTAGCCTTCCTATTTTAATGAATGTTATGATATCCGGATCCTGGTATATGTTGTATAGTTCAAAGTTATACCTTCTCCGCCACATCCCGTTTTCTTTTGTGCCCTTATATATGTGTCGCAAGATTTTTCTTTCAAAGGTGGCTAATAACGTTTCCTCCCTTTTAGAGAGCGTCCAGGTTTCTGAACCGTATGTGAGTACCGTCTTATTAAGGTTTTGTATATTTGACATTTAGTTTTTCTGGAGACGTTATCTGATCTTAGTTGCCTAATCAAGCCATGGTAACATTTATTGGCAATAAATATTCTCCTCTTCACTTCCTCTGCAACGTTGTTATCAGACGTAACTAGAGATCCTAAGTATGTAAAGTTTTTTACCGCCTCAATGTTGTATTCTCCTATTGTTAAATTTGGCAGCTGCCTTATTTGTGCGTTTTTATTTGCAGGCATATATTTTGTTTTTGTCTGATTGATTTTGAGACCACTATTTTTTTGCAGCTCGTTCTATTTGAGTAAATGCCTCTATCATTTCTCTTCTTGATCTTGCGATTATGTCAACATCATCTGCAAATGCTAGTACTTGCACGCTTTTATTAATTATTGTTCCTCGGGTATTAACTGTTGTGTCTCTTATTATTTTTTCAAGTATGATGTTGAATAATATGCATGATAGAGCGTCTCCCTGGCGTAGTCCCTTCTTCACATCTATTGTTTCCGTTAATTCGTTTTGTATCCGGATTTTACTTTCTACTTTTAGTGTTTCTTTTATCAATTCTATTAGCTGTGTTGGTATATTAAATTCTTTCATTGCTTTTGTTAGGAATTCTCGGTTTATATTGTCATATGTCTCTTCGAAGTCTATGAAGAGATGATGTGTGTCGATGTTATATTCACTTGTTTTTTCAAGGATCTGTCGCAGAACAATTATCTGGTCTATTGTTGACTTCTGTCTACAGAAGCCACATTGGTATTTGCCAACTATTTTTTCAGCGTATGGTCTAAGTCTTTCATACATTACGTTGGACATTATTTTGTATGCCACATTCAACAGCGTGATTCCACGGTAGTTTTCACATTCTAACTGGTTTCCTTTTTTATGTAGTGGTACAATAATGCCGCTATTCCACTCCTTTGGTAGCTGTTTATTCAACCATATCTTTCTTATCAGCTTATGTATGCATTCTTTTCTATATGCGGAAAAGTTTTCATCCTTACATATATGTAATATACGCAGAAGGATAAGTCCTGGTTGAGATGCAGAAAGATAAAAGCTTTCAAACTTTCTAAAGAATGTTTTGACAGCTAGTTTATTCTCGTGTCGGTTGTATTTCCGAGCAACTAAATTTTTTCTAAAAAGAAACTGAAAACCATCGAGTTAGAATCTATGGAGAGGGCATCACGTGACTAAAAACGACCTAACTTCGGCCATATTGGTATTATTGTTTTGAAACTTTTGACAGATCGTATATGTTTGGTTATATTTGTTGTTTTTCGAATATTTTCAGTTTTATAATAATTTTATAGAAACTGTAATATATTGTGATAGTGCATAATAATGGTTTCTTGTTCTCAACGTAGTTGCAGTAGCAGAAGTAATGTTAATAAAAAATCTTCAGGAATATCGTTCCACAGGTTAGTATACAAATATGTAAACAAAGTAATGACCCGTACTTCAGAGAATAAATTAATACTATTTGACTGTATTAATTTATCTTTATATCTAATATAATATCGTGTTTTTAGTGTTTATCGCGGGATAAATAAATCATAGTTTATTAAAAATGTATTGCACTTTTTTAGATTATGATTAAATCTTCTGAATAACTAGTCATATTTGTATAGTAGTTTTATTATTATTGAGTCTGGCCCTGATCTCACCGCCATATTGGTATTATAGTTAGCCACTCCTACCTATGCCGTTTTTAATACATACGTTAATATGCTCATAGCTTCTCCATAGATTCTAACTCGATGCTGAAAACCGACAATAAAATATAACCTATCCTTTAATGCTCCATCCACATAGTTCTTTAAATAACCTGTTCAGCTATATGTTACAACCTTTTTTTTTAATTTACTAGTTTTAAAAAGTTTTAATTATAATCAAGATATTTATAATTAAGTGAAACTCACCCTATGAGGATATCCTAGATGCCAGGTTACGTTAAATTTGCTACCTTCTAATAACGAAGTCTTAATATTGCCTGTAACAAAATAAAATATGTTATTAATCATGTAAATGTTAAGATGATTATTTCATGATTATATATAGGTTATCCACAGAGTTGTATAAAAACTTTATGGAGCATTTCTTCTGATATATTGCTGGTATTTTTGGGGTTATTTATACTTTAAAAAATGACGGATTGAATGGTTCAACTGGCGGCTTAAGCCGATGTTAATACTATTATGAGTAGAACATTAACAGGAGCACAAGAAACATACGTAGGTATAGTTAAAAATGCAAACAAAAAGGCCAGGTCTGGAAATTAACAAGGAACAAACAAAAATAATGATACAGACTAGAAGAAATATAGACGGATCAGAAGATGAAAAAATACGGTAGAGAATAACGCAGGCAAACAGAGCTTAGTTTGCCCTCTCGCATATATTTCTGTCTAAAAATGTCCACCGAAATACAAAGATGAGAATCTATAAAACCTTAATTAGACCAAAAACATCTTACGGCAGTGAAGCATGGGTTCTGAAAGAAACATCCAGAAGCAAACTCGACTCATTTGAAAGGAAAGTACTGAGGTGAATACTAGGACCTGTGAGGGAAAATAAATTTTAATTAACTTTATAAGGAAGCACCACTGTCAGACTTCATTAGAATACAAAGATTTTAATGGACTGGACATGTGATAGGAATGGAAGAGGATAGGCTACCAAAAAGAGCACTGAATGCTAGAATGCAAGGAAAGAGACCGGTTAGAAAGCCAAGAAAGCGCTGGGAAGACATAGTAAAAAGCGACGCACAAGCCCTTTTAGGAAGACCGAGGCTCGATTTGGTCTGTAGTGCCGTAGAAAAAAAAGAAGAATTTGTTAATGGGATGGAGAAAACACGGCGTCCTTGCCTAAGACCCTTGTCAACGAATATTACCTTTAAGAGAAAAAAAACTGCAATTATATGTTGGGGATATCTGTTCATCCAGAAGTTATTCCTCAGCTTGTTAATTAATGCATTATCCTATTCAATTAAATATATTAATAAAAGATAATGTTGAAATAGTTAGATAGCCTAATGATAAGACTTAGATTAGAATTATTATAGATCACACTGCAAGAAATGAATCACTCTGAGAAAGATATTTTAAAAATGTCACCTTGAGCTATTAAATCATTACTTATTCATTAAGAGCGTAGGCTCAAATTTTAAATGGACCGAATCGACACTGTCGCTCCTATCCCTATTTTATCTTTCTTCACACAGCAAATACGTGTAGTTAAACTCTCACTGGTATGAAAGCTTTAAAACTGTCGGTATCTAGTGTATCCAGAATCGGCTTAGCACGTGTATAAGTATCTGTGAAGAACTGCGTTGTATAGTGATTGCTCAATTAATTCATAAAGACTTTATTTATTTTATTTGCATAAGTTAAAATATGGGACGTTATTACAAAAAATGTGTTAGTGTTAAACGAAGAAATAGACGGTTAGCTCAATTGAAGTAAGTACTTTTTACATAAATTAAATTAATTACTTTCTTTCTGATTTGTAAATATATAGTGAAAATATCATCTATAAAATCGATCAGTAAACCAAGTTCTTGGTTTACGGATCGATTGATTGACATCGATTTCATTAAATTTTATTTTCGTTTAAAGGAATAAAGTATCTGTTTGGTTTTTGTGGGTTGTATGTTGTATCTATATTTTTTTTGTTAAGTTAAAATGTATTTTTTTTTAATTATTCCAATTGGGCCGGAAATTGTTATTAACAAATAACGTTCTCAAATCGCTTTGATTAAAATTTTTTTAGACGTATCTCATCGAAGTAAATAGTTTTGCTTTCCTGTTAATTTTTTGTTAATTAAATGACTGAATTAGTTATTTTTAGGATTTTTTTTCTAAAAATCTACTACTAAAATGAATTACAATTCTACAAAAAGCTGTATAATCTTTAAACCTTTACGTATATTTAAGAATATTTTGACAAGAATAAGTGGTTTCTACCTTGCTAAAAACAATTGTAAATTTAAAACAAAGCTTTTTAAGCGACGCAAGCCTGTATAGCCTCGATCGTACACGCTTGGTAGTATTATACAGTGTGGAAACCACTTATGGAATAAAATTGTTTGAGTCCTTATTTTAGAAAATAATCAAAAACGTTGAGATACCTAAACTTTTAAATTTAAATGTGCACTTTTTAAACATAAATTTGAATGTACAGGGTAATCCACGCAAGTTTGGCATAGTCCATAATCTGTATTTTAAACGAAACACCCTGTATATTTTTATGTTTTTAAAAGCTCCTTAACAACCTGATTTCAACGAACTATATCACGTAGGGTCTATTATGAATAATACAAGGTGAAATATTGAAATTAAGTATAATTTTCTTCAACACAATTAATTCAGAGAATACCCGCGGTAATTGATTGGATTACATTAAAATAAATGCTCAAAATGTTCTCCACCTTGTTGTTGGCAATAACACAGTCTCCTATAAAACTCATCCCGGACTTTGTTTAAAGTTTGAGGTCAAATATTCCGTATTTCTGTAGTTATCATTTCTTTGAGGTCTTCAATGCTAGTTGATGGTGTTGCATATCCTTCGACCAATCCATTTTAAGTAATTTCTTACCATTAAAGCATACTGGGGTGTTGCATCGTCCTGCTGGAACCAGACAGTTTCATGCAGTAGGGTCGGATCTATTGGATTGGGATATAAGTTAGCCAACTGAGGAAGATCGTCTATTAGTAGGTACGTTTAAATATTTTTTCGCTGTCAAATTACCATCTACAAATTTTAACACGGTTACTAAATAGAAATTTTCCCCAATGTAATGACACTACCCTACATGATATAGTTCGTTGAAATCAGATTGTTAAAAATCTTTTAAAAATATACAGGGTGTTTCATTAAAAATAAGGATTATGGGCTATGCCAGACTTGCGTGGATCACCCTGTACATTTAAATTTATGTTTAAAAAGCGCCCACTTAAATTTAAAAGTTAGCGTATCCAAGATTTTTTTATTACTTTCTATAATAAGGACACAAACAATTTTATTTCATAGTGGTTTCCACACCGTATATACAGCGATAGATGGCTCAAAATGAATATTCGAAATATTTTAACGATAAGAAAAACCAATAAAAGATTTTCAATAAGTAAGTCATTCTTTTTACCGCTTATTTATGTAATTATTTAATTTCACTATTGCAGACGATCCACTAGTTATCCAGAAATGAATGGAGAGTTCGTCGAAGGGGAAACTGTGGGTACTAAGTAAGTAATACATTAATTTTTTTTTAAAGATATTTAATTTTTACTATTATAGACGAGCACGGTATTCTGGAGAGGCGGCTGAAGAAGTAGCAGAGATAGTTATTAAGTAAGCCATACTTTTAATTTTTTTAACATGAAATTAATCCGATTTTTAACAGTCAATCCCGTAATTTCGAAGAATCTGCCGAGGAGAACATAATAAAGGAAGATTCAGCTACTACGTAAGTTTTTTTTACCAAATATAAAATGTATTTAAAGTGCAGTAAACTTTTAAAACATAAATAAATAATTTGTATATCTTTTAGACAAACTTCAGATTTCATATTACAAGGAAGAAGAATTGTAGATGTGCAATATTTTATTAGACAAATACTGCAATTCCCTCATCACGGATTGTTTAATTGCTCTTCGGAAGATATTACGGTGACTAGTGAAAAGCGAAAAGGATTTTATTCTAAATTCACTCTCTTTTGTCCAATGTGTCGCGTGAAACATGAAGTAGAAACTGAAAAATGTAAACAACCATCCCTCAACGTCAATTCTGCAGCAATAACTGGAATAGTTAGTATTGGTGGAGGATACACACAACTAACTGAATTAACGTCCAATTTAAATATCCCACCACTACCAAAAAAATATTTTTTATCAATTCAAAATGATCTAATTGACTTATACCATGAAAGTTCTTGGACATCAATGCTTGAGGCTGGTCAAGAAGAAATCAAATTAGCAAAAGAGCATGGAGATATTAATGAAGATGGCTATCCTTTTATAACTGTTGTTGCGGACTGCTCTTGGTCAAAAAGATCATATAAAACAAATTATAACGCCAATTCTGGAGCTGCAGCCATTATTGGTTACAGAACCCAAAAGATTCTGTATCTTGGAGTTAGGAACAAATACTGTTCCTACTGTAAATTATACGGAGAAGATAAAGAACACGTGTGTTATAAAAATTGGACAAAAGCTTCGACTGCAATGGAAAGTCAAATAATACTAGATGGATTTAAATGTAGTAAATACATGCACGGCATTACTTACAAATTTTTAATAGCTGATGGAGATAGTAGTGTTCATCACAAAATTTTAGAAAATAGACCATATGGTAATAATGTTGTTGAAAAAATTGAATGTCGTAACCACCTCCTAAGAAACTATTGTACAAGATTAAAAGAGTTATCAACAAAACGATATAGTTCCGATGGAAAACTGGTACCAATTTTCTTACGAAATCTTTTAAAAAATAACATATTAAGATTAAGAACGGCTATTACAAAAGCAACTGAATACCATCGACAGTCAGATAAACCAAGCGAATTAAAAATAAAGTTTTTAAAAAACGATATATCTAATAGCCATCTTCATGTATTTGGAAATCATTCGAATTGCGCAGATTATTTCTGTCACAGAAAATCATCAGAAACAGATTATACAATACCAATGAAAGAATGCAGCCTGTTGAAAGATATTAGCTCATGTGCAGCAAGATTAAAATTCCATGCAAATAGTCTTATAAAAAATATGAGTAACAATTTTGCTGAACAGTATAATAATGTAATAGCAAAGTTTCTAGGAGGTAAAAGAATAAATTATAGCTCTCGGGGGTCCTATGAAATGAGATGCCACGCTGCAGCTTTGTCGTACAACTCTAAAGGTCATTATTACCAAGCCCTTCACAAAAGCATCACAGGAAGAAGTCCTGGCGTATATACAAAAAAATATATTTCAGTGTGCACGAAAAATACATTGCG